AGCTCCTCTGGTTGCAAATATTTTGTACATGTTTTCACACGTTGTTGGGAGGATTAATCGCTGTGTGTACAACTCCACTGGGAGAGAACTGGAAGCTTGAGCCTGGTATCTCACGGACTCTGCCCTATGCAACTTTTTCCCTTGCATTTTTCCTTTTTTGAGTTGGGGTCTCACTTTGCACCCAAGCTGGAGTGCAGTGGCATGGTCACAGCTCACTGTAGTCTTGAATTCCGGGGATCAAGCAATCCTCCCACCTCAGCCCCCTGAGCAGGTAGAACTGCAGGCATGCACTATCATGCCTAGCTAATTTTTTGATTTTTGTTGTGTTGTTGTTTGTTTGTTTGTTTAAGAGACAAGGTCTTGCTATGTAGCCCAGTCTGGTCTTAACCTCCTAGGCACAAGCAATCCTGCTACCTCAGCCAGGAAAAGCGTTGAGATTATAGGCATTAGTTACCATGCCTAACCTCTTTTAATGATTTTAGTCTATATTCTTTAATGCAAAAACAGCTTAAAATAAGTAAAATAGCTTTGGTAAGTTTTGTGAGTCCTTCTAGCAAACAATATGAGAGTGGTCTTGGGGACACACCTCTTAAAAAAAAACAAACATAGTAACTTAATCACAATTAATATATTAATAAGTTATAGCCTAAAATAAAGTAATATCTTTTATTCTAACAAAATGTTGTTCATAAATATCAAATAAAATATACAGAATATAGCTAATATGTACATCTATATATATTCATTCAACAAACTGTCAAATTGATGAGCAATTTTCTAAACAATTTTTATTTATAAAAATTAGCTTTTATCATAGTAAATTGGATCCCATTTATATTTCATGAGTATTTTATTAATTCAGTACTACCAATAAAAACATTTCCTATGCTGGGTGCAGTGGCTCAAGCCTATAATCCTAGCACTTTGGAAGGCTGAGGCGAGAAGGTTGTTTGATTTCAGGGGTTCAAGACAGAAGGTTGAGTCGGGAGTGGCCATAAGCATGCCACTGGACTCTAGCCTGGGCTACAGGGTGAGACTCCCAACTCAACAAAAAAAAAAAAAAAAAAAAAAGCATTCCCTGCTCAAAATTTGTGGTTACACAAAAAAAAGAAAGAAAAGAAAAAGAATAGCTCACCCGAGCTACTGCTTAGAAAGATAAATAATTTTGAAAAGAAAATTTTAAAAGTTGGTTTAAATACTTTATTTAATTTTTTTACTGCAGATTTTAACTTATATTTTATATATAATTGTATGAGATTTTTTTATTTTTATTTTTTTCCCTCTTTTAATTTTTATTTTAAAATTGTGGGGTACAATTCAGGATTAGATATACAAATATTCATCGTGCAGGTACCCTTTTTGATGAGGTGTGCCCCCACTTCTCCAGGCAGATATCAACTACTGTCAATCCCACTACCCCTGAGATTTTTTTAATTAATAACTTCCGAAAGGAAAAATCAATATAGTTCTGCCAATTGTATTTTAGATTTGTTTGCAACAATAAGAGAAGAACATTTTATTCTCTTCAATTACTTAAATCTTCACACCAAGGGTCATTTTTCATTACATGGTGAATGGTATTAATTTTTCCAGTTATATCAGAAGTTGTTTGGGGAATTTCTGGAAATAAAATTCAAGTCAACAAACATAAATCCATTCATCTAACATAAGTTTCAAAACATTTCATGTGTGACTATAAAGGTATTCTTGAATTGAAAATTTTAAATGGAATCATTCTGCCATTCTAAAATTATGAGTTGCAAAATTTATGATGGTATACTTCGTTAATAGTTTCTAAAGACTATTTCTACTTATATAATTTAATACAACAAAAAGAAATCAAAAAAGAAAAATAATATTAAGACTTAAAAGTTTCACTTAAGTAGCTACTGTCAATCATATCTCTAAATAAAGGGTTTGCTTGTGTGTGCCCACGTGACTGTACAAGTGCAGGAACATGAGATTTATAGATGTAATCATCTAATATCTATGAAGATTTTCACTGTTTGAGGGATTGTTAGTATGTGAATGCTTTTTTTGCACTTCCAGTTTCTTCATTTCTTCCTATATTGTGCCTTATACCTAGATGATAATGATAATATAATTTATATAAATTCCCTTGTTTTAAAAAAAAATAACGATGAAGTTATTCTGGCTGTTATGGTCTTTCACTATCTGGCATCTAGAAAGCACCACCTTCTAATTTTGCGACAAATATTGCTTACTGGTAAGAACTTTTAGTAACTGTAGCTCAACATATATCACATGTGCTGCTGCTAATCCATTAATCATTACACATACTTTTGGCACATCTCTCTTGATTTTGGGTACAACACTATAAAAGTCAAATAAAATAATATTTTAGTACCATTTAAGCTATCCAAACTGAGTTCCTGGTCTACTCATTTACGTGGCTTCTATGGAGCAAACTACTGGTCTCAAGTATGCATAAATTTGGGTATATTCTACTACATAAAGGTAAAGTGTCTTTTCCTTAAATCATCTCATTTAGTACTTGGTTAAAATAGTTGCACTTTCTTGATCAAGAAGTTAGATGTTAATAATTAAGTAGTACTGTGTTTGGTTCCTTTAGTTAATATTTTCCTGCATTTTAGAATATAATAGAGATTGAAGAAATGAATATAGCACATCTGTTTTTAAATGTATCTGTTTAAACATATACTTTAAAAAGTAAGCCCTCTAGTATTCAGGGTACTTGATAAAATTATTCAATATCTGCTTATGAAAATATACACAGACTGCTTGCATATCAAGCATAGCTAATGATTGAAAATGATAATTATTATCTGTATTTACTTTATGAGAATTCCACTTGTGTTTAATTTTCAATTACCTTTTAAAAATTAGTCATTAATAACTTTTTCTTGCCTCCAAACATTACTATCAGCACTTTTGCTTCAAATGATACACATGATTTTTCTTAGTATGACTAAACTGAAAATATCTTTCAATTATCAAAATTATATTGGAGCCAGGCTTTGTGGCTCAGCCTGTAATCCCGTGCCTTTGGGAGGCTGAGGTGAGTGAATTGCCTGAGCCCACGGGTTCGAGACCCGCCTGGGCAGTGAGACCTCATCTCTACAATAAATCAAAAAATCAGCCGGGCATGGTAGCGCATGCCTGTAATTCCGGCTACTTGGAAGGCTGAGGCAGAAGGATGGCCGGAGCCCAGCAAGTCGAGGCTGCGGTGGCCGGGACCGACCACTGCACTCTAGTCTGGGCGATAGAGTGAGACTCCAACTCAAAAAAAAAAAAACAAACAAATTATATTGAAATTAAAATCTAAATCCTATCATTCCTTGACTGCAATATTAAATGATGTTTTTGCATTGAATACTTTCTCTAAAGGTTGATGATTTTAAAGTGGATTTATCTTTTATTTTATTTTTTTAAGTAAAAATAACTTCTTTATATTCTTGATTAGCCAACTGAAGACCGAAAGTCTGCATGGGAGAATATGAAATGATGGTTGACACTTGAATAACATGGGTTTGAACTGCGCGGATCCACTTTATGTGAATTTTTTAAAACCAAAGGTGAATTGAAATACAGTATTCATGTGTTGCTAAACTCTTATTATATAAGGAGGAGCTGACTATTCATTTATGTGGCTTTTATGGGGCCAACTGCTGGTCTCAATTATGCATAAATTTGGGTATATTCCAGAGTGCCGGAGCCATCCCCCGCATATACTGAGTGTCGACTGTATATCTACTACATTGAAGAACAGTGGCATCAAAAATCAATCACTTGGAAATTGCTAAGAGAGTAGATGCTTTCACCACAAAAACTACCAAGTATGTGAGGCAATATACATATTAATTAACTCAGTTTAGCCTTTACAAAATGTACATTCATTTCAAAATAAGGTTGCACGCAATAAATATATACTGTTTCTGTCAATTAAAAAACAATTTTAAAAAACTATTGCTATTGATAAGGTCCTATTTGTTAGATTGGGTTATGGATACAATGTTTATTCAATCTGATAATTCATGGAGCTATATAATTATAATTTGATCACCTGAATAATGTTGTTAATCAAATACTGTCATATCCTATATAGTTTTTTTTTTTCCCTAAGCTTTCTCCTAACAAACAAATTCCACTACCATCCAAGTTGCCTACAGAGTCCAGGAATATAATGAAAATCAGGTGAGCTGGGTATATCATACAAGAGTGCTGCATACAGCCTCTGATGAACTGGGAAAGATAGGTCCAATTTAAAGGGTGCATATGATACTGAGCTCCAATGAATGGCTCCCATATGGGACTGTAGGTAAAGTGTTGCCAGGTCTAAAAATCTGAATTTTATGTCAAATTATTACTTTTTAAGATGTTGGCAATTAATTTTTTAAACACTGAAAGCCAAATTAAATATGTCTTTGACTAAAGAGGCCTCCACAAAGATCGACCTCCCTGAGTAGAACCTCACTAAATATGAGTCCAACTAAAATACTTTCACTTGTACAGTTGATACAGCTAGCAATTAGGGAAGTTCACAGTCAAAATTCAGTCTGATTCCCCAAAACATTTCTACTGTAGTAAACTTCCTCAAAATTTGATCACAGCTTTTATATAAAATGAATCCCAAACTAATCTCATAACAAAGATATTAATGTTACTGAAGAGAAATCTAAGGCCCAAAGGTAGCAAATAACTTAATGCAGAAATATGAAATAGTGTGAAAGAGTGAAACATTTGTATCATATGAAAACATGTACTGAAATCAATCATGTACCATGTGATAATTATGTTGATGAGGATTTCAATAATGTGATAAGATTTTACTCAAAGAACCAGAAATGGTTGCAATATTCAGGAGATTACATTTAAATTCCGATGGTTCTCTCTATCTCTTCTTGCTTCCCTAAATTTTCGAAAACTTGAAGCTCAAATAAAAATTTCAAAAGATCCCCATGTAATTCAATAACTCAAATTACTCACCTATATGTAACATAGCCAAGATTTTTACTTACTTGTGACCCATTTCATGAGCAATTGTAAATGCAAGATTCAGGCCATTATCTTCAGCAATAATACATTTTCTCTTTTCGCTACACATTCCACTCAAGTATGCTATACCTAAAAATAAAAATAAAAATTAATTACCAAAGGTCTGAATCAAACTGCAAATATTTACTGTAGTTATTAGTCACAGGAATGAAAATGACAATTGTCATTATTAATATATGTCAATACTAAACTGTAAAATCTAACCTCAATAAATAAACTTTAGAGGGAAATATATATAAGTCAATCAATAAACTGTTAATATTCTTTTGAGTTCCATACTTTAGATGAAATAAATTATTTTACTGTAAGTTTATATTTTATAAATTTTTTTATGTCTTATAAAACAAATGAATAGTCACAATTTAGAAAATGCAAATTAAAAAGCAGTGATTATGTTAAATATTTCCAATTATTGTGAAAAATTTCATTTCAAAAAATATCACAAAGTAAAATAAATTTCATATAGCACAGTCTTAAACTTAGATTTACATTTTGAGCTAATAAAATTTTATTTATGAAATACCACTTTAATCTGACATAGAACTATCTGTGATATTTTAAAAGTAGAAAAGGTTTTCTATGAAAATTTCTTGGCCAATAAGATGGTCTGTATTTAGAGTATATGATACTGAAATTTTATTTAAGATAAAAATTTCTGCAAGATATTTAATATTTTGGTATAAATTATTAATAAAAATGTTTATATCCAAAGTCATCAATATTCTTTAATCAGATATTTATATACTATTTTACTAATTGAGAAGTATACTTTAAGAAAGAATATTTAACAAAAGAAATTATAATCTTCCAAGCATGTTTTAATGTTATTTTCGAATAACAAATCATTAAAATATCAATTATTTTGGATACATTATATGTTCTCTAATTCTCATATCTGCATAAAATACATTTAAGCTCCTTTTATAGATGAAGGTATTTAGGTCTACATAGGTAAAATGATTTGCCAAAGATCACATAACTATTAAACATGATGGAACAGAGATTTGATTTCACCTTTGAATTCATCTGTCAGATGTTTATTTTGTTTCTGAAAAAAATTTAACACAGAACTTCCCCTAATTAAAGATAATTAGCTGACTGCTGTGACTTCTTTTCTTTTTCCAGAAACAACAACAAAATATTGGTAAGAAATAATTAAACATAAAAAAGCATAAAGTATCTTGCCTATGTTCTGGAATGTTAGAAGATTCATGGAGGAATATCAACTGACTTAGTGAAAACCACAGCCTAAATGATAGAAGGGGAATTTTTGATGAGAAGACAATGTATGAACTTGGCAAGACTGTGGCACACAAGATCTGTGGAGACACACTGCAGGAGGGTTGAAAACAGAGAATATTTGAAAGTATATCTGAAATTCTCAACAACTCATTTAAACCTTCATGCAGAAGAATATCAAAGTCTGGTATCCAGAGGTCTATCAGGAAAATAGTGATATAATCGTTAAGCAAAATATAGTATAAACATGTTATTTTTGGAAATACTACTACAAGAAGAAACATTCAAGAGTTGAAATTAATATATGAACGTATTTTTTCTATTTACAAATTAAAATAGATTTTATAGACATTTTACATCTACAAATAGATAAAATAACTTTCTAATGGACAGATGATAAGCCAATTTCATTTAACTTCAAGGTTAAGTGAATACAGAGTAGAAAGAAAGATGAAGGCAATGATAAACAGAGAGGGGGTTATGAAAAGGAGGAGAGGAGAAAACCATACTCTTTTATCTAGTTTCATTAAACAAACGAAATAAAAATCTTTAAATATTTCATTTAAAATTAAAAGATAATGTGGATTTTAAGAGAGCTAAATCATGTACTTATTAGTGCAACGAAAAATGAGAATCAGAGATAATTGAACTTGTGTTATAATAAAAAGGAAGAAGGAAGGAGAAGATGAAAAAAGAGGAAGGGAGGATAAATGGAAAGTACCTCCTCTTAACTGGATATTAAAACGTGGAGTTTCTGAACATTTAAAAATTGTAGAAATTAAATGTCCCTCCAAATACTAAATCAAGCTCACTACAAATAGCATGCTGGTGACCACTGATCAATGCAAGATTCAGGATTCTTACATATTTTACCATAACTAAAGTAGTCCCACTACCATGTTCAGATTGAAAACTCAATTTACATGGTTTTTCATCATGTCACATACCTGTTTGTCTCATGGGTCCAGTTACTTACAAATTTAAACACTTTAATGACTTTTACAGTTTTTTCTCCTGTACTCACTCAAATGTTATATTGTCTCTACATAAAAATAGTATTGTCACTGTTTCCAATTCCTATCTTTTCAATATATTTTTAGTCTAACAACATTGGCTAGGGTTTCCCCTATACTATTACAATATATGGGTAGTATTGAACTCCTTATTTTTCCTTTTGACTTTAATAGGGGTGTTTACGATTAAATATGATGTTTGCTGCAGGGCATTCATAGATATAGCTTATTAACTTAAGGAAATTACTTTCTGATATGCTTGCATGTCTGAGTGAAAAAGGAAGCAACAACATCTGATTCATAGGTCAAAGGTGAATGGAAGTTGAATAGTGAGTTTTTGGAAAAGAATCAAAAGAAAGGAATAGCCAGTTAGGAAAATGTAGAAGAGCTGAATAAGTACTAGGGAAATACTTAATGTAAATGAGTCAGAGATGTGTTGGCTCACTGAGGACAGATAGTTTGGAGTAGCACTTAATTGAGTGATACCTGACCTAGTGGCTGAAACAAAGAAGAGTAATATTTGGATTCAATTTGAGTTGAGGTAAAATTGGCAGTAAAGTTGAGAGTGAAAGGGATAAAACCTGTAGGACTCTATGGGGGATAAGTAAAAAAGTAAGGTTAAAGGGAGCCTGACAATTTGGAGACCAGAATACAGTTGTCAGGAGAGTGGAATCACCAATGAAGGAAAAGAGCAGGCACTTTACAAAAAAGTACTGGAGATTTGGATCTGAGAGGTGGATTTAGAGATTCAGTATTTCAGAGAGGAAGCTTTGATACATGATTATGTATTTTCATAGGAATAAAGAAGGGCAGAGATAGAGGTCTAGATTGAGGTCAAAGAATTATTAAGCCATGTGAGGAAGACTAATTATATGAGCATGAAGTTACACATGACCAGCAAGAATCAGGCAACTGGGAAAGTGGCTAACATTCATCCATAGGAAATGTGGGCAAGCATCAAGATCAATCATAACTTTAAGATGACCAATCTCAAGAATTGCAGCCTCGAATGAAGAGTTAATATATAAGAATGGGAGAGATCTTGATTTGAAAGGAGTACTGAAGAGCAAGAGGATTGTGACATTTACACCAGTCTTGTATCTTTCTTGCTTCAGTTCTGTGATATGAAGGAAGAGAAAGAATGAACAATGACCTGCCTGGGGTTCCTAGACTACAGAAACCTATAATCACCTGGTTATGGAAATTGATAACTATTGTATGGTCATGTAAAAAAATAAAACAAGGTGCTAAACATTTACAATGTAAAGGTATATACTATAAAATACAGAGGTTGCTAAAAAATACACACTATAAGAAAAGAAAAACTATATTAAAATAGTAATATTCAATAAGATGAATACAAGTCACGTTTGGCTTCTGCAATTATAAGAGATGCTCAAATGGTTACCATCAGCATCCAGATACTTCTGATTATGCAAACATCTTTTAAAATATGCATACTTTTTTTGGCACTCCAGGTATGAATGTATATAAAATACTATAAAATATTTTTAAATGATGATTATATATTTTCATAGAGATATGATTACAACTATGTATCAAAAAGCCCATGCTACCACATAATTCATAGCTGAACCAATAAATGAAGTATGCTAACTTGCTAATAGCAATTGTATTATATGATAAGATTGTGGTTGATTTTTCTCCCTCTTTTCTCATTTTCCAAATTCATGAATTTATAATTGTTTCATAATGAGAAAATTAAAGAAATATAAACTGGATAACCATGTCTATGAAATTTGAATGGTAATAAGTAGAACTTCCTGCAGATCATGATGCAATCTCTAAGACCACAATCAAAAAGGATAAAAAAAAACTTTATTCTTCTACTTAAGTGTAAAGAAAGAATCTTCAATTAAGACTCTGACAAATTTAAATTTTATTGTTCTTACATTTGGCACATTAAGGAATTCATTTTTCTTTGACTTGAAAGTTATGGAGAATGATTATAACCACAACTAATTTAAATGACTTGCATTATTCTGTTTAAAGGTCTATGCTTTTCAAGTCCTTTCAAGAACCCATATGTTTCTTATAATAAGAGATGGGATTAGGAGGGGAAAGGATTTAACACAGCTGTTATTTAAAGATAGATGTAATACAGACCCTTTTCAAAGCACTCTTTTAATATAAAGAATTCTGGAAATACAAAGTAAACCAAACCGCCTAACTTCTCACCTAAAAATCAATCAAGTCATGTGAATAGAATCTCTTACCAGAAAACAAAACACATGATATACCACATCAAGATTATCAGAGACTCCTAAAATCTTAGAGAATACATTTTCCAATAATGGATTAATGGAGAAATCAGAGTTTTTATGTGATAAGATACATGCATCCTGACAAAAGTCTTCTCGCTCCAGAACTGTTGCTTTTCAGCACTAACTAGATTACCTAAATTCAAAATCTGGTCACCCCTGGAACAAAGTCCTGGTACAACCCTGGGTAAGTTACTTACCCTATGGCTCTACCCATAAGGTAAATTGTTTACCTATGACTTCTACAGTTATTTGAGGTCTAATGTAAAAAATGTAATATATAACAAGTTGCAAAGGTACAAGATAACAAGCATGCCTTCAAGTATATGACCCACACAAATGCTTATTTTAAATTGTGATCACTTAGACATAAAGGTGTACATAGGATATTATGGGAGGTTGAAAGACATCAGACACAAAAAAATCAAAGCAGGGAAGGCTTTCAGAGAGAAAAGCAACTTGATAATATCATAAAAAGAGCAGGGGCTACACAAGGAAAGGGAATGGACATGGGAAAGAGTTTCTAAACAAAGGA